ATTATGGTATATTGGCTGATATACCATAATGGCTAAGCCAATAAAAAGTCTTGAATTGCATTATCCAATGATCCAGTTTTTAATAATAAGAATTATTGTGCAGTTATAGACGTGCAACAATCAACATGACAATAGAATGAATAAAGGAAAAAAATTATTTACTATTGAAAATAAATCTATTAATAAAAACTGATTTAAAACGACTTGTCTGAACCTCAGGTAGAATATAATTATGCAACCTAGTTCTCAACTGCCGTGTTCTCTGGGGAGGTAAGAGATTGCTCAACACAGTGTTGGTGGAAGAAATCCTTTGCCATAATTTCATATCTCTGTTACAATGGATATCCACGATAATGTGCTCCTTTAAGCAGTAACCCAGCTCATAACACCTGGCAAAGAGCTTATCAATTCTACTTAAATATTTACTATAAAAAGCACGCCTCTTTTAACAATGCCTTTTTTCCTTTTCCTAGGAAGCATTCACCAAAAGTGTCTCACAGCAAAATCTGTTGCCTGTGGATGAAGAGGATTCTGCTCATGACAAAGCAGTTGACAAGAAAAGAAAGCAAAGGCTCATCTCTATTCTTTTTATAGCTGCCATAACTACAGTCCTTCTAGTGCTGGCTACAACTATTCCATTCTTACTTGGCAAGTCATCTGTAATATTGATTTATTATTTATTTTCCCTGGTGACTGCAATTCTCGTTATGAAACTTCAGAGAATAGACAGTTTTTTTTTTAGTGTATCCCAAATCTCACTTAGTTCATTTATGAGAACCTGTCCTTAAGTATGGAAAACCAACCATTGCAGGCAAATATTTTGCTAGTGGCTCTTATCATCTCATACAAGAGGGGTAGAATGCTCAAACATGCTTTCTAAAATAGAGTTTTCAAGGATGATGTGTTGCAAGGGCAAAACCACAGACTGAGTGAAGTTGATCTCTTAAGGCCTGTCCAAAAAAAAAATCCTTCCAATTTGGTATTTTCCAATTTTTTTATTTCCTTTGTGAATTTTGTCAGTGGACTTCTTATATTTTGGTTCATCTAATTAAGTGATACTTCTTGAGTTATCATCTCTTTTCTATTTGTGTCATGTTTTCAGCATCTAAGAGTTCAAACAATGAGACATCAGATGGTGTTGGCACAAGCAAAGCCACTGGAAATGAATTGAAGTGTGAACCGTTTCTACATACTATGGAAGATGGTCATGTGGTTTGTAATGGAGAGGCTATCAATTCAAGCTGCTGGACTGTGTGCATTCAGGGATTTGAAAAGGAAAATGAGACGATTGGCAGTTTTGAATGTCAGGAAGGTGGAGAATGGAGTGGTGAGAGAACAAGATGTGTTCAAAAAGACTGTGGATCTCCTATTCAGGTAGTTGATTGAATTCTCAAATATTGAACTTGGGGTTAAACATTTCCTTAGGTGTAACTTAAATCTTTGGGCCTCCTGATAGGCATGGACTCTATAACATTCTCACCTTAACCCTCTATTGTTCAGGTTAACTCCATGTCTATCTTGGTGATATTGGGTGGTCAGAAGGTTTTTT